ACTTCCTTCCCGCTAGCCTTTCCCCTTCCCCTATTGGCCTGCTTGTGGCTTTCAACTTTTCTGGATCTCCAAACCCTTTTGAGAATCCACTATGTTATGTAATATTGCCCTTGGAAAAAAATGTGCCCACTTGGGCTCACAGACACAATTTAACACACAGTTTCTGGGATCTCTCTGCATAGCCCCTGAAGCCCATTCAAAGGCCATTGGGGGCCTCTGGATTAGAACTCCATGGTTCTGGGATTAAAACTTGAGTCAGCAAAAACAGTCTTTAAATCTCAATGACTCCAAAACAGGCTGTGTGACTTTGGATGGGTTACTTAACTTCTCTGGGCCTCATTTATCTTATATGTAAAATCAAGGTAATAATAGTAGCTACCTCACAGGTTGTGAGTAATATATGAAATGAATAAAACTCTTAGCCTGAAGCCAGGCACATGCAGTAAGGGCTTATGGTGTTTATTGTCATGGTTATTGTTGTTACTGCAGATGGTGGCCCAGGGCAGAATATAAAAACTGAGTGGGCAGTCCCAGTTCAGCCAGGGCGGCAGGAGGCCATCTATTGGAGTCTGCTTCTACAGCTGAAGAAACACTCGCTGAGTTCCAGGAAGAGAGTCAGAGTAGCAGGTCCCCAGGGGACAAAAATGATCCCGATTGGTGGTCAAGTTAACTCATTTCAAGAAGCGTCAGAACCTTTTTTTTTTTTTTCTTTTGAGGGAAGCCTGAAGGCCAGTGCTGGTGCTTACACCAATAATCTGGAAACAAACAGGCTACTGAAACCATCTGGATTAAAGCCAACAACTCCTTTGGACATTTACTTGAATCATTCTCTTGAGCTAAGGAATAAGTCATTTTGCTTGAGTCTACAGGGTCCCCTTATCCTGGCAATTCATGCAATACTCTTTCCTTCCTCTTTGTCTGGAATGTTCACTCAAACAGGGGGAAAGCAGATTTGGGGCAGAATGATCCCCTGCCCTGGAGACAGAGTAAGGCTGGACCCTGGTGGTGGAGGCAGGCCAGCAAGTGCAAGTTCAGGAATCAGGATACAGTGTGGACCAGGCTCTAAAGACAGGCACTCCCTCTGTGGAGCACACTCAAGGGGTGAGCTACTTCCAGCTCCAGAGAGATGCCACTGGCTCAGCTTACTGGGGGTTGGGAACCCCCAGTGTTTTCCCAGCCCAGCATGGGACCCCAGGAAGGAGGATGGGCGGGAGGGTAGACCCTGGAGAGCAGCGGCAGGGTTTCTTTCCACCCCTCTGCCCCTGAGCTACTCCTTCTTTCAATTTCAACAATCTCCAAAACTCCTCCGAGGGGGACAGTCAAGGCCCAAGCCTTTCCTCTTCACGACACACAATCATTTGTACTTCATTTGCTTGATAAAAACTCATTCAACCAATACATGGAGGGCGCCAGGTACTCACCTGGCCTGCACAGGTCTGAGGTTTACAGAATTTCCAGGTTAAGGTCCCTGCCTTCGAGGACCTCTTTGGTTTGTCTGGTGGGAGAAGGAGTGAGTCTGACCACAAATCCAAAACACAGTTCCTTGCTCTGCAGGAGGGGTATGGGAAGCTGGTGTATTTGGGCTGCCAGGAGTTCAGAAGATTCTAGCCACTTACAGAATGGGGTCTGGAGTCTGGGAACTGCTGGGTATGGAAAAGGTTGGTGGGGCAGTTAGGCTAGTTTTTGAAAGTGGCCTGCCGATGTAAGCAGAGGACCCTAAACAACAAAATGGGTGGGTAGCACTCCTGCGTTCCCCTTGAGCCCCCAGCTGTGCCAGGCTGGAGCTGTTTGGCTGCTCTGGAGATCAGCAAATTAGGCCAAAACACTAAAGCCTCAGGACTGAGCCGCAGGTATTGCTGAAGGGAAGAAGAGGTTTGGCGACAGGAGGTGGAGGAGGTAATACAGATGATTGTAGAATGTCCTGTCTACTTGGACATGATGCAGTTGAAGAATCAAGGTCCCAGGAAATAGTGCCCCAGTAGAGGAATTCTATGCTCCCACCCCCCTGCTCCCCAATTCCATTCCTCATCTTCCTGGCAGCCTCACAGTAACATTAAACTTCGCTGGTCCTGAGGGACTGGGAAATGGGCGACAGCAGGGTTGCCCTTAAGATCCTGTCCTACAGGCCAATATCAGGTGTGAATACTGGAACAGACAGGACGAATGAAAGAGGAGGAGCAGGGAGGAGGCCCCTCCCAGGATAGGGAACTAAGAGGCCCTGTTCCCTGCTAGCGTGAGGGATGTGGCTCGCCTCTGGCTCTGGGTCAGGGCTTTAGAAGGAAGGGGCTGTGGGCCAGAGGCTGACGCAGGATCCCTGGGGCAGGAAGTGAGAGGAGAGGGCAGACCCCTCTCAGTCCCACAGCTTCCAAGCCAGCAGGGTCCAGCTCCCTGGCGCCCTCTCTCTCCAGTCCCTCTCCACCATCTCTGAACTCCCAATCCACGGTGGCTAGGCCCAGCATCAATTGCCTCATGGCTCCCAGAACAGCACTGAGGCACCAGAGGTGGACCTGCTTTGGGGATACTTTTGCAGCTCTGGGGGAACTGAGAACCGCATTCTCACCATCTCTGCCTCTGAGCACCTGTCCTCCCCCCAAAATGCAGGACAAAGATGGAGCAGGCGCTGGGATCCCAAACGAGAATCCTTTCTCCCCGCATTGTCCCTTTTACCCTGGAGAGCTGCAAGCCATGTTCCCAACAAATAACTGGAGGGGAGATAAAGCAACCCATTGCTGATACACTGAAGCCCCTATGCTGGAGGCATCCAAGGACAGAATCTGTACTGGATCCAGAATCTGTACTGGATCAGTGAGCCCCAGCTGGGCTCACTCCCTCTCTGGGGCAGGTATGAGGGGGTAAGAAGCCCAAGAGGCCCTAGTCTTCCCATCCCAACCTCTGGGCTGGGCCACAGTCCTCTGCACTGGCCTCGCTCAGCCCTTCTGTCAACCAAGCAGGGCTGCAGGGTGGCACTGCCTACCCAGGAGTTTACAAACAAAGCCAGGGAAACGCTGGGGCTGTGTGGGAAAGGAAACAGTTCTGCCTCCATTGGCTCCAACCCCTTTACCTCCCCGCTTTCTCCAGGCGCAGAAATGGACAATCGGGGTGGTGAGGCCAGCAGCCCCACACAAATCAGATGAGGGGAGCAAGAGAGAAAAGAGCCTGGGGCACAGCCCCAGGTAAGGGTTCATAGGTAAGGGTTCAAACACACCTATATACCCACAGTTCACATCGGTTTACACAAATATATGCATGGAGAACGACACACAAATATACATATTCAAAAACATAAACACAGTCAAAGATCAATGCACACCAAAGCTCGCCCGGTACACACAGAACGTGGGGCCATCGGGTTGCCAGACCCCAGTCTGACCTGAACCCAGGCCTCTGTGCGGGTTCCTAAGAGCACAGTCCCAGGCTTGGTCGGGCCCCCTCCGGGCCCCCGCCCCGCATCCGGAACAGCTGGAGTCGGCCGGGCGGTGCACTCGAGCCCGGCGCTGGGCTGGGCGGGGCCGGCAGCGGGGCGCGGGGCGCCGGCCCCGGCCCGGCAGAGCGCAGCGGGGAGGCCTGGAGCTGGTTCCGTTAGCCCCGGCACCCGGCCCGACTGCCGGTCAGACCCCGGTCACCAGGCGGCCTCTAGAGCCTTGGCCCGAGATAAGTGTGCAGGATTGCTGCGGGAGGTAAGTCTGTCCCTTTGGGATCTGGCCCCGGGAGAGGCGCCGAAGGCCACCACCAACTCCACTCCGCCTCTCGTCTAGGGAAGGCTGAGTCCTCTGATTAACCCCCTCCCCCAACCCCTGGGGTTCCCACCCCTGCGCCCTGTGTCGCCTCACGCAGGGCTGCAGAGCCTGTGTGGACCTCCTGATTCCCTCTTCCCCTGGCGTGTGGCGCGAGGCCGCGAAAGAGTGTAGGGGCAGGGGCGCTGGGTCCTTGATCACAGCTGGGCAAAGTCCGCGCCGGGCGGCGGCGGGGCCCACCCAAGCTCCTGGTCTTACCTTGACCGCTTGGCGGCCGTGTACCTCCCGGACTGGGCTCTCGCAGCCCTTCTCAGGCGTTGATTCCCGGGTTGGAGAGCCTGACAACTCCGGGCCAGCGCTGCGATCGCAGCGAGGCCGGCGGGCGAAGGGTGCGCCGGGCGCGCAGTTCGCAGTTTGGGGTGGGGGCGGCGGCTTTTCAGTCGACCGCGGTTCGGGTGCAATAAAGGCGCCGCTAATGTAATTTACAAACAGCTCGGGCCGAGCGCGGCGCCGGACTGACAGGCGCATTAGGCAGGCTAATTCCAGCCGGCTCCTCCTACCCCCGGCCCGCTAATTAATGAGCTTCCCAACTTAGAGCTGCCTGCATTGGACAGACAGAGAGTGAAAGAGAGGGAGAGGGCGAGGGAGAGAAGGAGAGAGACGGGGGGAGCGCAGAAGAGAGAGAGAGGGAGGGAGGGAGAAAGAGAACAGGAGAAAAGAGGACAGAGGGAAAGAAGAGAGGAGAAGGACAGGGAGAAAGAGAGAGAGAGAGAGAAGTGCCTCTGCATATAATTGATTACTCCTCGATCAAGGCTAACTTGTTAGCAATAGTCGATTGCCCCATCTCTCCGCCTCCCCTCGCAGTACGGGATCGGCGCCCTCGCCTCGGCTCTTCCAACTGCTGCTTCCAGGACCCGGGGCCAGGAGCCGCCGCGGAGCCACCTGACACCTTTAAATAGCACCAGGGCAGGCGAAACTGGAGCCCCGTGCGGCGCACCCCGGCTCGGGCCCCGGATTTCTGGAAGCCCCGGAGGAGGCAGTGCCCGCGTCAGCGCCCTCTTCCCGGGGCCCAGTGCAGCTCTGCTCGCCTCTGCCGCTGCGCTAATCCGCCCCGCGCACGGCCGGCGCTCGGCCGGCGCCCTGCCCGGCGGGGCCTCCTTCACGTCCGCCGCTGCCTCTCTCCCGCGCCGCCGGGCGCCCGAGCTGCCCGCGGGCTGGGTCCCCGCGGCCCGAGCCGCCCCGGCCGGGCCCCCAAAAGAGGCCGAGATGACTTCCAAGGAGGACGGCAAGGCGGCGCCGGGGGAGGAGCGGCGGCGCAGTCCGCTGGACCACCTGCCGCCGCCCGCCAACTCCAACAAGCCCCTGACGCCGTTCAGCATAGAGGACATCCTCAACAAGCCGTCCGTGCGGAGAAGTTACTCGCTGTGCGGGGCGGCGCACCTGCTGGCCGCGGCGGACAAGCACACGCCGGGCGGCTTGCCCCTGGCGGGCCGCGCGCTGCTCTCCCAGACCTCGCCGCTGTGCGCACTGGAGGAGCTCGCCAGCAAGACCTTTAAGGGGCTGGAGGTCAGCGTCCTGCAGGCAGCCGAAGGTAGGTGCTGCCACTAGATTCCCCTACGCCCAGAGCCCAGCTTCCCGTGCCCAACGCACTTTATGCCCTCTGCCTCTGCCCTCCTTCTCCCCCGCCGGCCGTCAGGGCCCTCCAGCCGAAACCGCTACCGCTACGAGTGGAGAGGGGTGGGACAGGACCCAGACCCTATTTCCTAGGGACCTCGGGATAGGCCAGAAGTGACCAGGAAGGGATGGTGGAAACACAAGCTCTCTCTGTAGCCTGCCTGCTCTGCCTGACTCCCCCCTGTTCCCAATGGCCTGGGCACTCTTAGTCCTGTTCCGGGGATGAGGAATGGAGAGCCTTTTGCTGCGAACTTTTGGGGAAGGGTAGAGTTGTGGTCCTTGTGAAGAGGTGGAGCACCAACATGCATACAAAAGTCGGAACGTCCCTGTCTGGCTCCTTCCTGCTCTAGCAACCTTGGGTCTTTCAAACCAACTCTTGGGGGGCGGGGATGGGGGAAAGAGAACAAAACAATTTTTTTCTAGGGACTTCCGGTAGAAGAGAGACGGGGGAAGAGGGTTTGCCATTGACGAGGTTGGCTTTAGTCCGGGAAGCCTAATCGAAACCGAGAAGGGAACTGTGGCAAACCGCAGGCCGGACGAGCCTAGGTGGGCTGAGCGAGAGACGGGGTGGGGTCTCTTCTTCCCTGGCGCAAGCCTATACTATGGTTTCCTCGCAGGCCGAGACGGGATGACCATCTTTGGGCAACGGCAAACCCCCAAGAAGCGGCGAAAGTCCCGCACGGCCTTCACCAACCACCAGATCTACGAGTTGGAGAAGAGATTCCTCTACCAGAAGTACCTGTCCCCTGCCGACCGAGACCAAATCGCGCAGCAGCTGGGCCTCACCAACGCTCAGGTCATCACCTGGTTTCAGAATCGGCGCGCCAAGCTCAAGCGGGACCTGGAGGAGATGAAGGCCGACGTGGAGTCCGCCAAGAAACTGGGCCCCGGCGGGCAGATGGACATCGTGGCGCTGGCCGAACTGGAGCAGAACTCGGAGGCTGCCGGCGGCGGCGGCGGCTGCGGCAGGGCCAAGTCCAGGCCCGGCTCTCCCGCACTCCCTCCGGGCGTTCCGCAGGCCCCGGGCGCCGGGCCCCTGCAGCTCTCGCCCGCCTCCCCGCTCACGGACCAGCCAGCCAGCAGCCAGGACTGCTCGGAGGACGAGGAAGACGAAGAGATCGACGTGGACGATTGAGCGGAGCCCAGAATTTGCCGCGGCACGGGCCCTCTGGAGCCGTAGGCCTGCAGCCTCCCAGGCCGGACCGCCGAGGGGAGCTGGGACCTCCTCTGCAACTCCCGCCTTCTCCCCTGTCCCTGGCCCAGACTGGGCTCCCAGCAGCCGCCTCTTCCCTCTCGAAGCAATAAACCCCGGCTGGGCCGGCCGGCCGGGCCGGCCGCTGCGAGTAGCCTCCCGCAGACCGCCCGGGGAGCCCTTGCCGTGCAGTTCTGTGTGGCTTCTATATAAATATTTAAACCTCTATAGCGGGTTCTTCCCACCGCAGCCTGCCTTTTTTGTTTCTTTTTAATTTTTTTTAAAAGATCTCGGAGGTTTTCATGTTTTCAAAGCTCTTAGGCTGCCAGGTTTGCTCAGGGCGAGGCGGAGCCGAGGGTAACGGACACCGAACCCCCGCGGTCTGGAAGAGGGGGCCGCCCGACTGTTTCGATTTTTCTCTGCATGTGGCGAATGCACCGGCCCTCTCCCTCCTTGCCTCCCCGGGCCTATTGCAGTTGACTTCTTTTATTTTCTTCTGCATCCCACGTCAGAAGCGGCTGAGGTGGGCAGCGGGGGCCTGACTTGCAAGTTTCAAATTGATCTTTTCCTCCTCCCCTAAAAGAAGTCTCTTTCTGATGCCATTTCTGCCTCCCAGGATCCACTAGTGCGCTATTTTTAAGATTCCTCTCCACCGTCTCTCTCGGTTTTCTTGGGCCGACTGCTGGGGTCCGGGTCTTAGGGACAAGATGGGGAAATCCAGCCAACAAACCAACCAACGAAAAAGGAACCCAAAGCCCTATAATTATTTTTTACTCTTTTTAGAATTTTTTTGCATGTGACAGAGACTGAGAGGAGGCCAACCTAAGTCCTCACCCCACCTCCTCCACGGCTCTGGGTCTGCCTCCAACGCCCTGCTCCTCCGCGGACTTGGCCAGACAAGGTGGCCAGATGAGGGTGGGTCCCAAGTGCTCCTTCCCTGCTCCTGCCCTGCCTTCTCCTCCCCCGACTGTACCCAAGGCCTCTTTCTCCAATAAATAAAGTCTTTGCCATTTTACTAGAAGCGGTGGTGACCGTGTCTAAATGATCGGGCCCTTTTCAGGAAAGCGATGGCAGGCCCAGGAGCTCGCTGCTGCTGGTCGCCGGCGGCCGGGCCTTGGAGATTTGGAGGAGTTTCAGGGCAGGCGTGAGAATGAAGGGTGAGAGGGGAGCAGCGGGAGGAAGCGTTTCTGCCTGTAGACACGCGGCAGGCTCCAAATGAGGTGGGACATGTGAGACAAGTAGGCTTCGTCAGGTCAGGGTAAAAAGCGGGCGTGCAATGCTGAGCACAAGTGCGTCTTCAGCACTTGCCTATTAATTTGCCTAAGGCAAAGGGCGGGGAGGGACTTGCCCCAAGGTTCGTGCACCCTAACCGGGACCCAAGGACATTCTTCCTGCGCTCCCTGGGGCCTGGCTAAGTCTCGGGTGAGTGGCAGGTGTAGCTCAGCCAGATAGCAGGGTGGGGTCTGAGGGCTCCTGAGTTTCGGTTCTGCCGGAGGGCCTCACGCTTGGGGGAGGAAGAAAAATGAGGCTGAAGGCACCCACCAAGGGACTGGCTGAATCGCGAACCCAGGCAGGGGGATGTGAGCCCAAAGCGCCTGAGAGTTGGGATGAATTTCTAGTGACATTCACAAATTCTGGGTCCCGAACTCCGCCGGGGGCAGAGACATCAATCTCCCCAGGACCCTCTGGGGTCCCCGCGCCCAGAGTGGGGCTGAAGCAGGGACGGAGGCAGCTTTCACTTTTCCGGACCGAGCGGGTTTCTCTCTGGGCTTTTGTTGTCTCTGGGCTGGCGAGTGGCCGCTGTCACCAGAGGAGGGTCCCGCCTCCAGGCCGCTCAGTTCCCTGTCTCCGCAAAATTGATGTGAGAAACGCGCATCTGGTCTCGGGCAAGCGATGGGGCCCTGGGGCCTGAGTCGGGAACTGTCGCGTCCGAGAGGAAACTGAGAAACAGGGAAACAGAAAAAGAAGGGGCACAGAAACGCGCTCCGAAAGCAAAGCGAGGGAGTAGAAAGCCACAGACACGGGGAGGAAGAGGAAGAGAGAGAGGGAGAAAAGAGAGAGAGACGGGTGGGGGGGGGAGTGAGTGAGAGAGAGCGGGGAGGAAGAGAAGGTAGAGAACCGAAGAAGGAAAGAGGCGGCCGGGCGGCGTGCGGGTGTGCGGGCGTTTCTCCTGGGCGACATAAATCGCCCTCTCTCAGGATGGATGGGTCTGTAATTCGGAGCGGGGACCATGAAGGCCGGGACGAATGGACCCGGGCGGCCGCTGACAGGCGACAATAGCCGGGCCCAGCCCCCCGTGGCTCCGGGTGCGGGCGCGGCCGCGGCCCTCCGCAGCCCAGAGCGCGCCGGCGCTGGCGACCATATGGTTTTTGAATTTTCTTCACAATTTGTAGACAATTTGATGGATTAGGTCCCCGCGCGCGTCTCCCCGGCACAAAGGCGGCGCAGGGACCGCGGCGCGGCGGTCACCCGGGCATCTGCGCCCGCCGTGCGCAGCCCCCCCACTGGCCCCCGCCCTGCGCCCGGAGCCCCAGGCCGCGCGCCCAACACGCCCATGAATCCCAATGAAGCGGTCCTGGCACCTCGGGCCACTTCCCGCTTCGCGGCCCCGGGCGGGGCCTTACTGGGTCCCTTTAGGCTAAGGGCGGCGGCCCCGGGGCTGAGCCCACCCGAGATGCCGCACCCGCGGGGCGCGCGGCTAAGCAGGCGCATCGGGGCTGAGGAGAAACGGGGCCATTTATCCGCCCGTCTAGTTAAAGCGGGTTATTTGTTTGCTTCTCCGGCCTCCCCCCTCCTTTCCCCTCCCCTCCCCTTCCCCTCCTCCCCCCTCCTCCCCCTTCTGCCTTTTATTCTTTTGTCTCTAAATGGATTTAATGAGCCTGAAAAACATGACAATTGAATATACACAAGATATAAAAAATGACGAGGAAGGAAGGAAGAAGGAAAGGAAAGAAGGGAAAGAAAGAGGAAGAATTAATAAAGTAAAGGGAACGATTCATTCAATTCATCAAATGTTTATCGTGTGTCTTTTCGGTGCCAGGCCGCGCTGGGGGCGAGGGACAGAGAAGCGAATCCAGCCCAGTTCCTGCCCTCAAGGAGCTCTCAGTCCAGAGGTGGACGCGGCCTGCCGCACCCCCGCGGTCGTGGGAGGCCTGGGCCAATGGGGAAGGAAACGCGCATTTGCAGAACTCGGGAAGAGGACTTTGGGCTCCGGGTAGGGGAGTCTTCACGAAAGAGGTGGCACGGGACCCAGGCCTTGAAAGACAAGAAGGAATTCGTTGTTTTTATAGGCCAGAAAGAAGGGTCTGCGAGGGTAGGACCTGTCGTCAGCGGGAAGGGGACAGAGACGCGCTCAGTAGCCCTGGGCTGAGCCCCAGTCGGGATGCCCGGGGAGAGCGCGCCCCGAGTGCTTGGTTCCACGCAGTTGGGGGAGCGGATCTGACCTGCCCCGCAGCCTCTTAGGCTCTGCTCGAGTCCATACGGCTCCCAGGCCGCAGGCGGGCTCCCCGAGCCCCGCCGACAGCCTGTGCAGCCACTGAGGCCCAACTCCACCGGACAGAGCACTGCCGCCTGTGGCTGCTTTTCTGGCCCCAGTCCGCAACCAGGCCGCCACGCAGGCCAAGGCGGAGAGCCTGGGGCTGGGACGAGGGCGCTGGGTTTCAGCCCACCCTCTCCTCGGCAATCTGGGCTCTGATGGGAGCTGCTACCCGTGCGCGGGCCAAGGCGCTCAGACGGCCTTGGCCCCAGCCTTGGGCGCTCCCTCAGGGACCTGTAATGTGAGAGGGCCTCAAATGCAAGCGCTTGCCCTGGGCCTCCGACCTGGTGCCCGCCGGGCCTGTCCCAGGTGCGACTGTGTGTGCCGCCCGTGTGCCCTCCGTGGGAGCGGGGCGTGTGCATTATGCGCGTTATTCTCCGAGCGTGTGTGGTGTGGACCGTGCGAGAGGCTGTGGGTCCTGCGCCCATTCTCAGGAGAGGTTTGTTAAGGCTTAGGACCGTCTGGGCCGCCGGCCCTGTGCCGGGTGTCACTCTCACTGCCTGGGGCCGTTGCAGGTGAGGGAATCCAGGACCCCGGCTTCTCCGCAGACGCGCTTTTGGTTCCCGGCCGCCCGGGGGAAGGAGACCAGGCTGTGTCTTTTCCTTCCCAGTTAGGCCCCGGGGCCTCGACCCGACTCAACAATTCCCGGGTAAGGGCAGTTTCTTATCTCACGGCCTGGGACGCTGCGGCGGCGCGCGGACTGACCGGGCCCCACCGCGCCACACGGCTGGCTCGCTCTCCCCGCTCCGCCTTCCCCGGGCCGGGGGCTGGCGGGCGTTGCCCGGTGAGGCCGGGAGGCGCAGTTCCTTATTTTACGAGGTGTCGGGCCGGTGTCAGACGCAGCTCCGATAAGTAATACTCCAGTCTGAGGGACCAGAACGTGGTAATTAATCCCAAAGACTTAAGTGTATTTTAGTTCAGGAGGAAAAAAAATCACTAATTCAATCGTCCGGAAAATTGAAGTTTGATGCATGAGTCCCCCCTGAAAGGGACGGGCTGGGGCCGCGCGCCATCCCTCCGCCCCTGCCAGTCGCCACGGGGACCCCTCCTCCGCACCCTTCTGAGCTTTCAGGTACAGGGAAGTCCACTCACCCCACCCTGCAGGTCCCCAGCCACTCAAACCAGGGGCATCTTGGCTTTGCCCCCCACCCCAGTCGTCAACCCCTCTTTCTTGGGGCGCAGAAAGCGGTGGTGCTGAGAATACAGATGTCCCCTAACACGTACACCTGCCTGCACGGGGGGGGGGGGGGGGCACCAGGGGGAGCAGGAAGTGTAGGGGGAGGAGAGGGCCAAAGTGGACAGGGTCGGAGGCTGCAGAAGGCACGTGGGAGAAGGGACTGTAAACCTGAGGGAACTGGGGTCATAAGGGGCGTTGGGTGGAAGGTCGCTGCTATAAAGTGCAGCAGGA